ACAGACCGTGGATGCGGTACATTCCCAAACGTTTCGCCAGCATCGTTAGTGAGTCTCGCCATTCGTAGCACCATATTACAACTCGTCAAATGGACAAGTGAAGCCCATCCTTTGACCAATCGTGTGCTAAACAGTTATGGTATCTCACCTGCCCATTTCCTATATCCTTCTATCATGCCTTCCCTGTCACAGTTTGTACCGTGCGTATTCTTAATGTAGTGTTGTGTGCCCCTTCGAGCGGCATTCATGAAAACCCTTCACACTCCACACTGTCGTTATCATCCCCTCCACCCTTGTGATGGGAATGCCGGCGAAACGTTTGGGAATGTACCGCGTCTACGGTCCGACTTTGAAAATAAATATGCATACAATGGACTCAGGACAAGGTGCGTTCCTATAAGTCTTCCTACCAATATGACCAAGTTTCGAAAACAAGGCCAAACAACTTCAATGCACGTAAAGTTAATTTTTAGTTAAGGCCATTAGTTTCAGTGCTCTGATTTAATTCCCTACATCAAACATTAGAGGGACATAGGAGGTGGAGATCAACGACACCAAAGTATGTCTCTCTTAGATCTGAAGTGATATCGCGCTTACTAGATTTCAGGTTTGAGTTGCTGTCAATAGAACTATCATAAGCACCAGAACCCGTGACAGAGACGGCAGCTTCATCGTCAGCGGAACCACTCGATAGTTGCCCAGTGGCGTGCTCAGATCCAGATGTTCGTGAAGTCGTGACTAAGTCCAAGAAGCCGGTTAGCTGCTCAGTCTAAAAAAGGCAGAAAGACATATAATGCAAGTGAAGAATATAAACGGCAAAATCATAGTGTATAAAACTTCCTCTTATTTAATATGATCTAGTAAAAATCCTGTATATTCTTTAGAACAAGATAGTGCTAGATGACTCGACTAGTGCTATCACCATTAATCAGATTTTTAAAGATGGTCTAAACAGACTGATAATCATGGCTAACTGGATTTTAGAGGTAATTTAAGCATTCTAATCCTTCTAGGTTTCATAAGGTGAGGAAGGATGGAAGCTAGCAATTTTTGACAAGGATATAAGTAGTTTTCATTGAATTTCATTAAGCTTTGCCTACCAAAAGGCAATATT